CAGGGTAGAGGGGCAGAAGGAGAGAGAGAGAAATAGAGCATCCACTCAATCTTTTTCAAGCTTCTCACGTCAATGTGTTGTCTTGTTTTCCGTGGGACTTTGTAACTTTTAAGGTTATTTGAGGAGAGTCCAACCCTGGCCTCCTTTGTTCTCTCTGCATGCAAATAGTGAACAGCAGCCCCATCAGTGGAGAGTTTTTGGGGATGGCCATTCAGATATCGACCAGACCTTAACACTACATAATAAAATAGTCCGTCTCAAACCGAGGCAGGAATGGCAGGGTGGTTTGGCAAACAGCCACAGGCACGGCCTCGGGCTGAGAGGAGGAAACATCAAACACAGGGTGACAAAAAGCAGATTTAAGGGAAGCGAAAAACAACTTAGAAACTTACATTTAAAGGATGCTTGTGGACTTTTAAGTCTGTCCTGAACAGAGTTTTTTTTTTTACAAATCTGGTTTGTACATAGATTTTGAAGTGGCATTTTCTTACTGATGGAGAACAACATATTTGTAGACAATTCTTTTTTTCCCCTCAGAATGTATAGCAGTTAGTGGTTTTTAAGTGTTTTATGGAAACAAAAGAGTGGAGAAAAAATGCATCAAGCTTTCATTAAACTGTACATGCAAGCTAAAGTGGTAACATTACATTTGGTCTCATATTAAGAACATTTAAAAGGGTTCAGTGCCTGTGATATAGTTTAAGGTCTAGGGTACACCCTTTTTTTTCTTATTTCCCTGCGTTTTTTCCCAGCTGCTCCGCGGACTGTCCCTCCCCCTGGCTCTTTATCCAGTCTACTAGAAACCAGTGTGCCGTGAAGCCGGTGCGCCACGCCGCCCTCTCCACGCCAACGTGATCATCGTAGAAGGAGAAAAAGGAGGAGAAAGGAAAAAGAGTACATCGCGGATGGGGAAGAAGAGTGGTCCCTGCAGCTAATAGATATGTTATTGTCGCCTTTTTTGGTTTTACTTCTGGAGAAGAAGGTTTTTGATTTAAACTTATGTTTTTCTCTCATGATAGACCCATGTGACAAATGATGTTGAAGTCAGCAAAAAGTGTTAAATGTGATTTTATTTGTGCGTCTTTCCACGTTATGTCCGTGCTTTGGATGGTCTGACTTCACTCAATGTCAGCTGTATACATGCTGCTCAGTAGGCCTACTTTATAACAACAATGATAAAACGGCCGGATCACCCACTCAGTTCAGCCTGAGTGCCAAAGCCGTGCCACGCCGTGCGTCCGTGGAGAGGGCTTTAGAGCTCCGACTTGTGCGTAAAGACAGAAGCGGAACAAGGCACAGACGAGGTCCCAATTCCCTCAATACAGCCCCCCTTACCCCAAACACACACACACACACACACACACACACACACACACACACACACACACACACACACACACACACACACACACAAACCCACACATGCACGCGCTTATTGCTCCGCTTCCTGTGATTCCAGCGAACTCTAACATGTCACCGATGTATTTCTCCATATGATGCATATTGGTTTTAGAGGGAAGAAGTACATGTGCTCATATCATTGCAGCTTGAATGTCACAGTTCAATTAAATTAGTTGTAATATCAGTGAGAACATGCACACGCATCAGCGCTATATAATGTCATATTTATCCTATTTATAGGCCTGAGAAATAATAAAATGATCTGACTTTGGATAATACTTTTGGAATTAAGACGTTTTATTGTGTGGTAAAAATAGGACACTGTTTTAATGTTGATGATTTATTTAGAGAAGAACAACTTTTCAAAAGAAAAAAGGAAAAAAGGAAACACTCTGCAAAGCCATTCTTGCGCAAAATACGTAAACATATGTTTCAGGATCATCTAAAATAATCAATTGATGATGAAGTTACTAATCCAGATGTGCAGTTTACTGCGTAAGGGCATCCAGAATTACAGCGCAAAACTCCTAATGTCCAGACTCTTCCATACATGTAGAGTTACATTAATATTACCAATTAGCAGCTGTCGCTAATGTAAAGCAGTGTTTTATTATTGTCACAGATCTGTGTTTTCTAATTGTTTTAAGCAACTTTCCATCAACCCCTTTCACAACATGTCAGTGTTTGGAAAGTTTTACGCAAACCTTTAATATGATCTGCGTTCCCCATTGTGTTCTCTCATTCACACACAGACACACGTACACTCACACAGACGCGTGCAAACACCCTCTCACACACACCCTAACGCATCACCGAATCTTACATTTAAAACAAATACATTTCATAAATATAATAACTTGCAAATCGTATAACTGTGTTTGCGTTACAGACTATTACGAACGTAATTATTTACTTGGTGGCATGATGCTAATAAAGAGGAAATAACAGCAATGTAAATAAAGCTTTATGGCTTTGACACAGTCATTTACTGGCTCTGCGTTGTTGGAAATATAATATTCACTACTTGTGCACGAGGCTTAACCGTTTTTTCACACACTGATGTTTGAACACAACTCTGAACACTGCGCAGCTACAGCCGTTTATTCATAGTACCGTGGATAACGTAAGAAAAGTTAAGAAAAACACAAACAAATAGCATTTTGACTGCAGTCCATACAAACATATCAGGCACACATGGAAGGCACACAATGCGTGTGTACTTGTGTTGCATTTAAGAGAAGAAAACATGCATTGTGTCATATGTTTGAGTTATGTGTAAATCAAAGTATCTCTCTCCCCAACCCTTCTCCTCACACACACACACACACACACACACACACACACACACACACACACACACACACACACACACACACACACACACACACACACACACACACACACACACTCTCTCTCTTTGGTGATGTCTGACTTTCAGTTCAGCAAGATTGGTCAAAGCACACTAGAGAGTTTCATTTTCGATTAAAAAAGAGTTAATATCTTAACATTTGTAATTAAGACACAAATAAAAATGTTTGGCCAACTAAAATGATATAGAATTTTAAAAAGTTAAGAAAATAACAGGCAGACACTTTGTGGTAAGTTTGAAAGGTGATACAAATGATGAATATCTAATGTCTCGAAGTGACAAACCGACCTCCTTCAATTACTAATTAATAGCGTAAAAAAAGCAATAAATTGTGCAACTGCCTCGGGATCTTAGAAGGTGAACTTCCCTGCAATTGAGTTAATCTGTTTCATAAACTCACTCTGAATTACGCTGCCATGCGTTGCCTTGCTATGGGCATCTCTCACAAACAGTAATCGCAAACAAATACGCGTATTCTCATCCGAGCGCAAAAACCCGCAGAGCGTGGCATGAAATATTTAGAGATGTGTTATATTGAGAAGATGTCGTTTGACATAAGTAGTTATTTTTCCATTTCTTGTAGATATTTCGGAATAATAATACGAAACAAAAAAACAATGGCCCCGCGAGAGACAACCACAAAAAACAACAACACTCGGACTCCTATTTGGGGAAGAAAATGGGAGACAAAAAACGCAGCGCGCTCTCTGACAGGCTTTTAAGAAAGTGGGCTGTGTCAATCAGAGCGCGAGGAGGCGCGGGCGCGTTGTGTGTGCGCGCGTGAGTTATGTTTGAGCGTTCAATGTGGGGTGGGATTGTAGTATTGCAAGGCATGTGTGTGTGTGTGTGTGTGTGTGTGTGTGTGTGTGTGTGTGTGTGTGTGTGTGTGTGTATGTGTGTGTGTGTGTGTGTGTGTGTATGTGTTTGTGTGTGTGTGTGTGTGTGGGTGTGGGTGTGTGTGTGTGTGTGTGTGTGTGTGTGTGTGTGTGTGTGTGTGTGTGTGTGTGTGTGTGTGTGTGTGTGTGTGTGTGTGTGTGTGTGTGTGTGTGTGTGTGTGTGTGTGTGTGACACTGATGGATGCGCCAATGGAAAGACGGACAGATGCTTGGGCGGATCTAACGGCATGCAGCGGCTGAGCGGCGCACACAGTCGCGGTGAGATTAGGGCGAAAACATCCTCGAATCGGCGGAGAGTCACCAACCTATCAATCCTTCCACCCGAGCCCGGGGAGACGGAGGAGTAGAGCGGACACATTCCCTCCAGGTTTACCAGAGAAGCGACACCGGCTGATTCCCCACAGCGGATCCGAAGTAGAGAGCCTTTTCTCCGGCGTGAGAGGCGAGGCGCAGCGGCAAGCACATCTGGCGCGCAGGAAGACGGGAGGCGAGAGAAAGATTGGTAACTCACCCCTCATTGCTCTTCACTTCAAGAAGCCGTTTGTGTTCACCTCAAGGATCGCCTGAAAAAAACACAGGAGAATATTGTTCATCCACTTCCAACAAAATCCACAAACTTTTATCCCTCACTGTGAGGTGAGGAAAACATCTCCAGAAAAAAATGTCAACAACCTACAATTGAGGATTTTTGAGCTTACCTGGAAAAAGAAAATAACTTTATTCCATTGAAATAACAGCGCTTTGGTGAGGTTTTATTTTTGCGCCTCTCGGGTCACTTGAGGCGCAAAGAAGGAGCGCAGTGCTGGGTTTGATTCGCTGTGTGGCTGATTTAAATAGCTCCTATCAGGACACGGGAAGGGAACAAAACGGGAGAAAAGTACCACCAGCGGCCAATAAATTGTTCGGCAGAAGGCGCTAGAGCTCGGTGCGCTCCAGCCTGCATGCATGGGAGCAGCCTGAGCCCTTCCTCCTCCTCCTCCTCCTCCTCCTCCTCCTCCTTCTCATCCTCCTCCTCCTCATGTACATTATTACAACAAGGGAGACCCAATCAAGCACGTATCTCATCGATTCAGGCACACACACACAGATACGCAGTTACGCGCACACGCACGCATCCTGGCTGTGCCCTCAGCGGATTTTTCAAAGCGCTCCCGGACAAAATATCGTAGCGTATAGTGACCAGTCCCCGGCCGTCACCACCTCCTCCTCCTCCTCCTCCTCCTCCTCCTCCTCCTCCTCCTCCTCCTCCTCCTCCTCCTCCTCCTCCTCCTCCTCCTCCTCCTCCTCCTCCTCCTCCTCCTCCTCCTCCTCCTCCTCCTCCTCCACCTCTTAATTTCTCCTTCGCTGGAGAATAACAAACTGTAAAAAGCACGCTGCATGTGGCTTTTTTTATTCTTCATTTACACCACCAAACAACCGGACTGGAATGGATTTTTATGAGATGCTTTCAGGCAGCCGGTCTTGGCTTTGAAATGCGCGTGATTACCGGGAGGGCTTCATGGAGGATCAGCCCGTAAAGTAAGTAAGATCACGCCGCGTGTGCTTGTGAATCATACTGTGTGTGTTAACCATCTGCGGTAATATGACTGACATTACGCGCATTTCAAGCTCCCCGATTAGCCTTTTGGAATAAACGGAAGGCTAGAATAAAGCTGACAGAAAGAGAGGGGTGAGATAGAGAGGGAGGGAGAGGGAGAGAGAGCTACGTGACGCCTATCAGCGGCGGAGAGGTTGAACCGTAGAAGAGGCGCAGGGCTTCAGTTGTGTCAGCTCTTGATGTGTTGTCTCCCCCTTGTTTGCGGACTTTTGACTGACGCGATCATTTGGTTGTATCCCCCTCTTCAAGCTCGCCTGTTGCAGCCTCCAACGCCAAGTAAAGAGGATCACACGGAGGACACGCTTTTTTTTTAAAGACTCCTATAGCCGCGAAGCTTCCTCTGTTCCTGCTCCCATCCAAGCCGGAGCAACCGACGGAGAGAGCAGCAAACCAGGAGGCTGATTTCTTATTTTTAACCCCTCTATTTTCTTTTTGATTGGCTCTATCTCCTTTTTTTATTTTGTTGTGAAAACTGGACACCCTCCCCTCATTAAATACACCCACCCGATCTATGTGGGAGCCCTGAGAGCGCACCCAGGGGGGGAAACTGTGAATCAAAGCTCTGCGGGTCAGCATCGAAGCACCGGGGACCGAGAAGAAGTCCCTGCCGGGGCCCCGAAACCGATATGCCGCGGAGGAAGCAGGAGGCGCCTCGGCGCGCAGCAGGTACGCACTGGCTTTGATTTGAACCTAATTTACCTCTCTCTCTCTTTCTTTCTTTCTCACCCCCTCTGTATTTCCCCCCTCCTTCCTCCACGCCCCGTCATTCAGTTACTTTTCATTTTTACCAAAAACATCTTTTGTTGTGTACTGTAAAGGAAAGGGCAAACATGCTGTTGTACTTTTCACAGCTCCAACTTTTGTCCTCCCATGCTACACACATCCCATCATAGCTGTTCTTATTATCAAACACATACCTATATGACTTATTATTGGAGGTTCATTGGAATTCCAAACACCATGAACGCCACATTTCAACATTTCTTGCCAAGTTTAATTCATAAAAAAGGTCATTGTTGTTATTGTAAAGCTGCAATGATAATAGAGAGCATTTGATTTATAATTTTTAATCACTTTTTGTGTTATTTTCAGCTTTTCAGTTTGTGACAAATGTGATCTCTTTGGGTTTGTGTCTGCTGCTTCGACCCAATACGCCACCTAAGGCTTTTGAATACTGTAACGGGCATTTCTTTTTCACTTTCCCCTTTTTAATACACAACGATTAAACACTGTCTATATTTGTTAATCATTAGTTTATTCATATCTTCCATACAGATGTGTCAGAACCAGTGGTTCCCGGTAGTTAGAACAATCATCTTTGCCTCTCAGAGAGGTCACAGGTCAACCTCAGCGTACAGTGCATGTGTCCTAGAAACAGTGTGAGAGCGCTCAATACGAAACGCTTTCTACTTTCTCATATTCACTTCGAGTCAGATGAATTGTTCCTCCATAGGTCCCTCTCTACCTCTTTTCACTTCTTTACGGCGCCTCCTTCTCCTCTTCCTCCTCCTCTTCCTCCTCCTCGTAGATATTGACTGTGGAATAAAGGATGGGTCAGCTGACTGTCACGGAGGCCTTTGATGGTAGCTTAACTCAAACACCCTGATATATGACAGGAAGTGACTTCTTTAAGCCACATTTGTCTTTAAAGATCTGATCGCATTGTAACATTACTGTGAAATCCCTAATACAGGGTTGGACTAATACTGTCACACTATTATGTTGCTCTACAGGAATTTGGAGTGTATTTCCACACACCATATTGAGTTTTCAGGTCCTTTCTCATTTACTTTAAACCCCGTCGTATCAGTGTACTTCTACACAATTCACCTACAAACTACACTTGGAGTTTTTCTTCATGATTCCTCCGGATCATTTCTAAGAGATTCATCCTCCGTGTTTTTCGTCTTTCTCTCCTTCCCTTCAGTTTCTGGGAAATACTTTTTTTTCTCCTGGTCTAAAGATTATTTCACAGCCCGGGGAGGGGGGCGGGGGGCGGGCGGGGCGGGGGGGTGTATTCTGGAAGAGAGCTTTAATGGACAATTGCCATCTTTGATTTGACGCTTGATTGATCGCCTGTCATCTGGCCGAGCCTTTGATCTGTTCATTCCCGATAAGTGTCAATAAATCACCCCCCCCCCCCCCCCTCCTCCCTTCGACCCGCCCTCCCTCTGGTAGCGAAGCAGGGCCTGCTGAAGTCACGTCTCGCCTCACAAAGTTCTGGTCATTAACACCATCATTTAATTGCATCTTTGTATCTATCCCCCCCCCTTTTATTAGCTTTGATTTCTTACTTCCTCCCCCCCCTTCGCCTTCGGACTTGACGAGGATAAAAAACTGAACTCTGCATTTATTTTATGTCCCCATTAAAAGGGAAGGAGATTTTTTGGTGTTCTCATCACATCACTTACGACACTAATAATTTGTTTTTTTATATTTTTATATTTCAAGTCATCCTTGTATAGCTTTTGTTTTGGAGTAGTTTTTGTTCATGTTAATTCAAAGTATTATGTCAACAGAATTCACACAACTGTTGAAAAGCAATAATATTAAGCTGAACCTCATTTTTATTTGAATTTAAAGTTAATATCATTCCTTTTAACTATAACCTAACACAGTTATGTGAAATATGTTGACGTAATACATCTAATTAAAGTCAACGGTTTAGTTTCTTCAGTGTTTGATTTATGCATGACCTTTAGCATATCACTGTAAGCCGTTTTACCTGAGCGCACTCTTGTTTGCAACTTTGTTTCACTCTCAACGAAATCCAGTTCCTGCATATGCCTGCAGCCTCCCAGTACATAATTACACCTGTGCAGTGGTGCAGGCAGAAGACACACTGCAATGACTTTGTAGTGCGTATAAACAAGTACTGTCTCGCCAGCGTACACACACACACGTAGAGTGCTATGAGAAATGTAACTATTAGCCTAATCGCGAGGCGGAAGACTGGTTTGCTCCATCAGAAGGGCCGTCAGAGAGACTTTGTTTCATATTTGATTTAATTGTCTGCCCTCTGACAGCCACATTCATCAATGGCCCTAATGGTCAATCAGAGGCTGGCACGCACACAGAGAGAGTCTTATGTATTCTCAGCCCAGGGCCTTACTTGATCAAAATGTTTTAGCTCTAATGGACACACCGGGGGGGAGTGATGGGGGGGGGGGGACAGATGGATGGATTGATGGATGCAAAGCGAGAGGACTTTTTATTCAGCTTGTGAGAGCGGGGAGAGAAAATGAGGCATTTATATCTCTGATGAGCGGACGAGAACAAACAGGCGAAGGAGGAGTTTCATTTTAGACTATTGGCAGATTTTTTCTTTTGCCTTCTCTCCTCCTCCTCCTCCTCCTCCTCCTCCTCCTCCTCCTCCTCCTCCTCCTCCTCCTCCTCCTCCTCCTCCTCCTCCTCCTCCTCCCCTCCCTGCCTTGCTCACAGCTGCAAGTTATAAGGTTGAGGAGAACTGCATGGCACACAAAGAGTGATGACAAATTGATTGCGCCTTAGTGATGGCAAGAGTTATGGGAGGATGGCAAATGATAGGCCTTGATTAGGAACTCGGAAGGGGGCAGAGTACCCCCAACTTTTTGTATTTCCCGCCTTCTTTCTTTCTCTTTTTCCCTCCCTTTTTTGTCACTGATTCTGCACTGAGAAAACGAAACATTCTTCGTGTGTTCGTGGCGTAAGACAGCAGATACCTCATACCGAGCCTCAGTGGCTCGTCCAACCATCAAATGTGTTAAAACAACACAATCCCGGTTAAAGGTCGGCATGTGTATTGAACACTTCCTCTGAATCTGCTTATTTGGGGGTTTGCATGTGCTCTTAATTGGTCATTACCTAAAACGCGCCATGATGCAGACGAACATGGCGTCAACTCTTCCTGTCTTACATTTCTCTCTTTATCCTTTTCCTTATCCTCCATCCTTCCAACAAGCCTTCCCACACACACACACACACACACACACACACACACACACACACACACACACACACACACACACACACTTCTCCCCACCCCGGCGACGCATTCAGCCGTCTAAAAGAGGAGTTGTTTTGCCAGCTTCATTAGCGTTCTGCTAATTAGCCGAGCATCTGATGGATCTCTGACGGGCCTAATGATTGGAGATGACAAGCTCAGCACACTGTCACGCTCGCCAATTAGGTCTGCGGCATAGTTGGATGTAATCAACTTGATCTTACACCGTCCTCGTTTGCCCCCCCCCCCCAACACAGGTGAGGTGTTGGACAGTGGTGGTATGCGCGTCGGGTAATCCGGGTCCTTAAATTAGCAGTGATGATTTTTCACGGCAGCATTGATGTTGCCTAAAGAACGTGTCCATTGAGTCATGCTGTACATGTGAATATGTGCGCACACACTTCTTTCTGACCGAGCGTATTTATTGTTTCTGATATCAGGAGAGGACAAAGCTCGGGCGAGCAGCTTTTGTCTTTGGGCTTCAAAGCTATCCGAGACCAAACAGGTCATTGTTATGGGAGCAGTGTTCCAACATCAAACATCAAGTATATTTTTTTACCTGTCGTTTTTTTCACGCGTCTTACATCCAGTACAAATAGTTTCCAAGTATTTCAAATGAAGGATGTTTAGCAGTAAGCAGCAGCTGCATGGTGTTAAAATAGCTGTGTGTGTGTATTGTTCTCCCGGTGCAGATTGATGACGGTGACACTGGTCATTATTAGCTACTCAATGACACTTTCCCAGAGTGGGAGGATTTTTCACCCGCGTTGATTTTTCAGAAACACCTATCATCAGCATGGTGTCCAAAGAGGCTAAGCATGATTTATGTAAATATTAACATCAAGACAGATCTGGTTCTGTCCGACAAGAGATAGATGGCAGCCGGGGAGGAAAAGCAGCTGATTTCTGTGATTTCTCTGTGTGTGTGTGTGTGTGTGTGTGTGTGTGTGTGTGTGTGTGTGTGTGTGTGTGTGTGTGTGTGTGTGTGTGTGTGTGAGAGCGTGTGTGTGTATGATTGATTGTAGATGAGAGCGAGAGATTAATCATGCTTGATGTGTGTTAACGTTGCACTCGCGGTGGATCTAAGTCGAGATGCAGTGGCCCATTTAAATATACTCACTCACACACACACACACACACACACACACACACACACACACACACACACACACACACACACACACACACACACACACACACACACACACACACAGGAGGACGCGGGTACACTCGCAAACACACACATTGTTCGGCTGTGACTAACACACAGGGCCATTTGCTGTTTCACAGTGGTTATTAAAAATACAATATCAGATTCTATGCTCCCGTCCAGTGGGTGGCAATATGATCTAATGTAAGATGTCAATATAATGGAGCTAATTAACCTGCTTTAAAAAGCTCTTGATAATTGTATTAATAATGAATGGATTTTTTTTATGTCAAATTAGGCAGCCGCCTCAAATTACCCGCTACTTGTATGTAATAATTTTATTTAATAGTGTTTTTTGGAATAATTTTGACTTTTCAGTTCATTCATTTAGTCATTTTTATTCTGAAGTATCCCTCTTCAGCATTACAAAGCCCATTGCCTGGAAACGACACACGCGACAGGGCAGAAGAATGACTGAAGTCCTTCGTTGAAACATGAAATTCAGATGTTACTCATCCTTGAAAAGAAAGTCTT